CAAAGTATCCGACATAAAGAATTTAACTTAGCCAGTCCAAAACCGTTGGTGGCTGAGCAGAAACTTGCTCCTCGTGAGGTTACAACGCAACCTTTATTTGAATATCACACCCCCTAATAGGAGCAACTAATCCAGTGCCCAAGTATACATGTCAGAAATTTGCATAGTCAGATCTCACATGGTCTGGACAAGGTCACTTGTTTAGGTTGAAACCACAACAGTTCTCTGTTGACCTCAAGGTGAGGGGTTTTGTAATTTTTAGTCATGATCTCATCCTGCCAATCCGTGCTGAAAAGACGGGAAACGTTCTACGGGTGTACTGGTTTTTAATCAAGTGGCTGTTGATCTGTTCGCCGAAGTTGGCGATTAACTTTTAAACGTTTCGTCACTAAACGGGGAGACATGATTAGTGCGTAGTTGGGTTGGTACCTCCTGTTTGCTTGCGTGCGTCTATATAGCATTTAAAGGTCATCTGTTATCTCCCGATGTGATTGGCTAGTTGGCTGACAGCGTTTTCGTGGGTTTATTGGTCCGTTTGTGAGCATTGTCGCCATCTCATCCCTATTGAGAATCATGATCAGTGCGCATCCCACGAAAGGAAGAGTCTCAAAACGTCTGGTTTGTGGCCGAACACTTAATATTTCGATATCGGATGGTTGAACAGCAGCGAGATGGACCCTCACTGGATTACGATAAAATAGCGTTTATTCAAGTTATTATTACTCAAGTTTAGTGTCAGTTATACGTAACCGAATTGACTGTGGTTTGTAGTGTGCAGCTGGAAACAGTTCTACGTACCCCAGAAATTGTATTGACGAATTCGGCAGTTGAGAGTTACAAACGGGCCCACTGAAAATAACAGTGTGATTGGTAGAACGCACGTTTTCACGAGAGTTTATGATGAGTGATCCCCACCACTAGAAATACACATGTACAAGGTTTACCTGTTTCTGTATGAGATCGAGGAATTCATTTTAACAAGATCAGTCAACGATAATCCAGACGTAATAAACAATCTGGATTTCAACCACGACTTGTCTGTGGACTCGTTAAACTGCACCGAGAAAAAGTGAAGATAGATAAGTGTCGAAGATCATATCGCAGTTGCACGCATTTGATAGTTACTGGTCGGATCGGTCGATCAAATGCCAGTTTGTATGCAAACTAAGCAACTAAACATAAATCACGTCCTTAGAATACATGCTTGAAAGTAAATTGCAACGTTTGCTCATACAAGGGTTGGAAAACAGCAGCTTAAACAGTAAGAGAGAATGTTTTTGAATTCACTTAACCAGACGAACAAAATCGGGCCTTTTTGCTCTCGGCTAACACAGTTTATAAACAGCTTTGTTTACATAATTTCAAAACAAATAAAACTGAAAACACCAGGGTCAGCGGCAAGCTTCACTGAATCGGAAACATACGGAGCGTTAGTATTTGTGCTATAACTTGGTCTAAAGCGCGACCATTGGATCTCCAAGTAGACAAAGTCAAACGCCCGCTAATTCGTGCATCATCACACCGGATTTATCTTCCGATACACATTAGTTCAACTGTACAACATTTGCCGCTGGAAAGACTGTCGTTGCTAGTATTGACCGCGTCTGCCGTGGTTTTCAAAAACACCGAAAGATTTTGAGAATCGGAACAAACGCCGTGCATTTGAATGAGACATTGAAATAACCTAAAATAATCCGCTTGATCTGGTGAGACATTTTTGAGAGAACGTAACGGGACTACATAGCTGCCAATGGAATAGCCGTTTTTCGTTGAGGGGTAGATTTCATTGGTTGTTCTTCACTCGCCCTGGACAGATGAGTTGTAGTCTTGACGTCAGTTTTGACCGCTTGTTCGAGACAAAGATCGATAGATCAGCTGACTCGCACGTTCATCGACTTTTTCTGGTTTGGCCAAGTGCGTTAGGCGATCAAGCGACTATCCAGACCGTAGTTTACGGTAATAAGAAGGCATTAAGGAGACTGTGGTGAAATGAATTTAACTCCCCAATTGGACGAACAGCTTTTTTCAGTTTACAGTATTTTCAACAGGCCACAGCCTCCTCCACTAATTCTCTTTTTTACGTCGGTTCAATTTGCAGGTTTATACTATGCGCATTGTGGGCAACTTCAATAAAGAGTTCACTATGAATACGGACTTAAATGTGTGTACTAATCTGCAGCGCCTTAAGATTCAATGGTCAATAGTCTTCTCGTGAACCTCCAACAAGATAAAACGGTCTCATACCATATTCATATTTGTTGAGAGAAGATTGCTATTCATAGCACTTGATTTATGCAGCGACAAAATGCCATTTGGCAGACCGCAATAGTTCTGCCTCCGCTTAAAAATACTTATTGTCATAGCAATTTTCCAGTATACATTTCGTCCAGTCGGTGAAGATAGTCTTTCCTGAAAAACCAAGAAGTACTGTAGAGGTGTTTCACTATTGCTGGGGATCATTATCTGTGCACATCTAAGGAGACTCCAGTAGGAAGCCTCAAATCCCTGAGCACTTAATCATTCAGCCAGGGGTGGCTAATTCCTTAATTCTCGTGAGAGTTATATTGCTAATGATTTCTCTACAAGGAAAAAACGGCTAAGCTTTTGCTACAATATATAAACTTATTTTGTCATATATATATATATATATATATATATAT